ATCCTACCGTTAGGATGTCCAGGATTATGATTAGGTAAATGCCAAATTATGCATTCAGTAAATTGCAAATTATGCAAATTATGCGAATTTTGAGTTATTAGCCAATAAAATTTCAAAAAAAATGATAAGTCAGGTGATTATAGTTACCGGTTTATTCATTTAACCAATCAATTTTTGTTTACATGCTGTATGAAAGTGAGTAGATTATGCAAATTATGCGTATATTATGCCAGATCATAAACCTGAACACCCAGTGTCCGTAGACTTATTCAAGATGAAATTGCTATTTATTATGTAATACGAATATAGATCACGTGATGGGTCACTTTGATCCAGGACAAAATAGAATTAGCTATTATTATTACTATATTTTAATTATATCATAACAATTTAGTTGTAAGAAACTTAATAGAATAAAAAAATATTTTTACAATATAATTAAAGATTTTTAATATATATTTACTATATGTTTATTATATAATAATTTTAATAATATTATAACTATCTAGTGAAGATATAACAGCTATATTATAAATAGAATTAATTAATTTGTAACCGTAGGTTACATATAAATTTCATAACCGTAAATAATATTATATAGATGATCGATATCATGCAAAATCGATAATAGCAAAGTATATAGTAGTATATATATATATGACATCGATGATATAATCAGAAACATACATATATATAAAAAGAAAATAAACTTGTATCTAGTTTTTTTTACCGCAACAAACGAAGATAACAATGGAATAAAATCATGGACATATACCTTTCCCAAAAAATCTTAATAGTTCAATCGAAGTTCAACAAATTGTAACAGTAATACTTAAAGTGTAAATACCTCAACCAAAAACGCATCGCAAAAATCTAAGAAATTCACACGGTTGTAATATATTAGCTTCATCATATTTATAGTTGTTTATAAGTATTCAAGAAGAAAATTGTAAGTTAAATGATTTTTGATGAAGAATGTGCTTTACTAAAAGGTTAACTATTACTAAATACCTCTTACCATATTTTTAGCCTATGTTGAGTAACAAGAAAGTAGCAGCTTCTGATTCACAAGTTCCTTTTATATATTCTATACAACAAAGTTCACAGCTTACGCTGAGTAATGAAATATTACTTACTTTTAGTTCACAAGTTCCTTCCGTATATCCAATACAACAAAATTTACAGTATACATTGGGTTATCCTAATGAAAAAAGTTTACAGCCTATGTTGAGTGATGAAGCACTACCAATTTTTGGTTCACAAGCTCTTTCTGTATATCCTAATGAACATAGTTTACCGAATAATGAAATATTACCAGCTTTTGATTCACAAGTTCTTTCTATATACTCTATTAAACAAAGTTCACAACCTATGTTAAGTGATGAAATATTATCAGCTTCTAGTTCGCAAGTTTCTTCTATATACTCTATACAACAAGAATGTGCTTCACCTGGATCTAATATGTCGAACACCAATGATATAGACAATGGATCCGTTAATTATGATATATCTGATGGAAATGAACAACAAAACATTAAATTTGAAGATCAAGAAAAACTTGAAATTGTCCCTGGCTTAGTATTTCAAAATTGAAAACAGCTTGATCGTTATATTAGAATATATGCAAAACAAAATAGTTTTGTGTCAATTATTACTTGTTCTAAGTCTGATGAAATCACTTGTAGAAGATGTCGATATGCTTGTGAACACCAAGACGTAAGCTATTTAAAGAAGATAATTATTCTAGAAAATCAAAAACAATCTTACACAAAACGGTTAGACTCAAATAGGTGGTCAATGCAACTTGTCCGAAAACAACTAAAAAAATTAAAATTACTTTCTGTAACCTTAAGCATTCCAATCATGAAATCCATCCTGATATTATTAATTTTGCCTTCTACTATCGACAATTTCCTGATGAAGTAAAACAAGAGATTAAGTATTATACTTTAAAAGGGTTAAATATGCAAATTCAGCTTTTCTTACTTGAAGACAAATATCCTGAGGGTCTTTTTTTGCCAAAAGACTTGTCAACTACAATACAGTCTTTCAAAAAGTATAACAAAGTTGTTAATGAAGCATCTGCTCTTCTAGAAACACTTCTTAATAACAAACTACAAGACCCAAGTTGGGTTGTTCATTGGCAATTAGATCCTATGTCTAATTCATTAGAATTACTTTTCTGGATGGAATCTAGTCAAGTTGAAACATAGATTCGTTATCACGATGTTATTATGAATGACAACACATACAGTACAAATTGTTTTAATATGGCACTTAGTCTCTTTGTGTATATAGATAATTATAATAGAAGCCGCCTTGTTGCCCAAGCATTGATGAATGACGAGACTACTACAAGCTTTGAATGGGTTTTTTCTAAGCTTTTGGAATCTACTGGCTGTCAACCATGTGTTCTTGTTACTGATTCTGATCTTGCGAATGAAGCCGCCATTAAAAATATAATGCCTAAAACCTATCAAATGAATTGTATATATCATATTAGTCAGAATCTCCCCAAAAATCTAAAAAGTAAACTTGGATCAAATTGAGACAGGTTTATAAAAAACTAGTACAAGATGCGTAATAGTTTGTCAAAACAAAATTTTGAATCTGAATGGAGATTGCTTATTAATAGATATCCAACAACAAAACCTTACCTTGAACGAGCACTTTATAGTACAAAAGAGCAATAGGTATTAGCTTAGATTTCAGATAGATTTACTGCTAGAGTTCAGTCTACACAAAAAGTAGAAGGAATAAATACAATTATTAAATCTGGTATAACAAGTAAAATGAGTTTATCCAAACTTGTTAAAGTTTTAGACTCTTAACTTGCTCAGGAATCAATGTATATTCGATATAATAATTGGTCTTCGGCTCATATTAAACCTACTAATATAACTGCGTCAGTTCAATTATTGCCTGAAGTTGACAAATGGCTTGCAGAATTTTTAACACTGCCCGTTTTATTTTTACAGAGAACTGAAATAGCAGAAGCTCTTTGGTACAGTGCACTATTAGTTTCTAAAGAAAATATTAATATTAGTTTGTTACAAGAAAAAAGTGAGATTGATTTTTATGAAAATCTTGACGATTTTCTAGCAACAAATGTTAATGAAATTATTTCAAGTCTATCTACTTTTTCTATTCAAGAAATTTGAGAGATTACTCATTATCGGGCATCTCATAAAAATTATGTTATTATACTCAACAATGGCAACCATATTTGTATATACCTGAGACTTATTAATCAGGGTCTTTTTTGTCATCATTTTGCAAAAGTTATGACAGTTTCACAAATTGCAGTATTTCATATTCTTATGATTTTACGACGTTGGTATTCAGATGAACATTATTCAAATCAGACGAGTTATTAATATCTCAACCATCAATTATTTATCAAAATGGAAGTGCTACTTCAACTTCAAACTTCATATCTGATTTTACTCTTATATACCTGGCTTCTGATTTTTCTTTTAATATATCAAAAACACTTAACAATCGTCATGCATATGGAGTTACGAATAGTCTCTGTAAAAAAGCTATGGCTGTTGGATTGGATACTGGCTCTGCAGCAATGGAATCACTTAATAAGTTTCTAGAGAATTTTATTCAACAATATTCTGTGAATTCTAATCAACACTTGGTCACTAATACTGCTTTAAGTGAAATTCAAGATAATGAATTAAGTGATTTAGATGATCAAGAAAATGTCCCACCATTTGATGTATCTACTATACAAGATCCAGTGATTAAAAAAAGAAAAAAGCACCAAGAGTTAAGCGTATTAAAAGTTCTCTTGAAACAAAAAATATTCAATCAAATACCAAGAAAGAGAAAGCCACACGTTTTTGTTCTCGCTATAAGCAGCCTAATCATTATGCTAAAACTTGCACCGTAGATCTTTAGCATATATATAAGGTCAGTAAATATATATCGATATAGTTAGAATAGCTAATCGATGGTTAATTGCATTAATAATTCAAGTGTTATTTTACTAACTAATCAGTACTTAGCTTTAAAGTTCTTAGTTTTTGTGTTGTGTACTATCGCTATATATTAACCAAATTTAGTTTCTTGCAACCAGGTTGAATTATCTATCGTGGTATCTGTTTAGATTCGATTAAGAATTAAAGAAAAAAAGTTTATTGAATTACTACGTACATTATGCAATATGCAATAAAAGAACTGTGCTTACCCCATATATGCATACTATCTTGGCTTTGAATAATAAACATACAATTTGCTAAAAAAGGAAGTTTAGTTTTTGCTTTGTAGTACGTGCGTTTGTACTAGTTAGGGATGTTAAAGTGCTTATCCGAACTGTTCGAACTGACTCGACTCCAGAAGTCAAATCAAACTTGAGTTTTTAATCATATGAAGTTGTACAAATCAAGATAGATAACAATAAACTTAATTGCTGCATATATTGATATTGATATACATATTGCTCTCGATTTGATAAATCTTACTGAAGTCGACTTAGAGTCGGCTTTAAATGACTCGACTCTAATTGACTCGAAAACTGACTAAACTGAGCTATTTAACATCCCTAGTACTAGTGTTGTAAACCTGCTTTATTTGGAACTGGTTTTAATCGGTTTGACAATATGAGAAATAAAAACCGGTTTCATTTATATATTACGCATAAATGTAATACAAGCTATGTAATTGACTACTAATATGTTACACACAATTAATTACTTAATTACGGTTACAATAACCGCAGTTACAAATTTATCCTTATAAATATATTTAGCAAAAAACCAATTTCTGCAAAGACTTTACTAATAACTGAATTAGGCAAACTTGGAGTTTTCAATGAAAAAATAAAACTATTAGAAGTTGTTAGCCTGATTAACGGGTGATATCCACCAAGCATTTCATTCGTGCTATTGACGTTAATAACACCAACGGTTCCAGGTATTTTATCGTACAATCTATGAAATG